TACAATTTGACATGAATTTCGACCAAAAATTACGTTCCCAGATTTAAATGTCGAATTATTCTAGAGGTCAAACCATGAAGAAAAAGCTAAACCTCGTGAAAATCGGTTCAGTTTTGACCGAGTTATGGGGGTGGGAAATTTCGACACATGTCCATATGGAATTTCGGAGGGTACAATTTGACATGAATTTCGACCAAAAATTACGTTCCCAGATTTAAATGTCGAATTATTCTAGAGGCAAAAATATGAAGAAAAAACTAAACCTCGTGAAAATCGGTTCAGTTTTGACCGAGTTATGGGGGTGGGAAATTTCGACGCATGTCCATATGGAATTTCGGAGGGTACAATTTGACATGAATTTCGACCAAAAATTACGTTCCCAGATATAAATGTCGAATTATTCTAGAGGCAAAAATATGAAGAAAAAACTAAACCTCGTGAAAATCGGTTCAGTTTTGACCGAGTTATGGCGATGGGAAATTTCGACACATGTCAGTCTGGAATTTCGGAGGGTACAGTTTGACATGAATTTCGACCAAAAATTACGTTCCCAGATTTAAATGTCGAATTATTCTAGAGGCAAAAATATGAAGAAAAAGCTAAACCTCGTGAAAATCGGTTCAGTTTTGGCCGAGTTATGGGGGTGGGAAATTTCGACGCATGTCCATATGGAATTTCGGAGGGTACAATTTGACATGAATTTCGACCAAAAATTACGTTCCCAGATATAAATGTCGAATTATTCTAGAGGCAAAAATATGAAGAAAAAACTAAACCTCGTGAAAATCGGTTCAGTTTTGACCGAGTTATGGGTGTGGGAAATTTCGACCCATGTCCATATGGAATTTCGATTGACTTTTGACAGAGTTATGGGAGTGGGAAATTTTCACACAAGTATAAGTGTTGGAATAAGAATAACTAATATAATAATAACTAATAAGAATAACTTATATATAATAATAGTAAGAATATTATGTATAGTAAAAAAAATAATGACTTATTTGATTACTAGAATAATGATAATAAAAATAATAGAGATAATAATAATAAAAATAGGATATAATTTAAATGCAGGTCTTGAATGTGTGTACTTTTCATAAGTATTTTTTCCGTCTTATCCTCTTTCTTGACTTTTTCGAGCACATAGTCCTTTTGTTGCCTGAGTAAAGTTGAAAACGGCGCTAATTTTATGGCGGCTCAACTTTGGCACTCGTCAAATATAAAATACAGCAAAAGGGCCGAAAGGACTGAAACTTGAGTTGCGGCTGGGACGAACTTTGGCCCAGGCTTAGCTTGGGGCATGCGACTTTTTATGATAATGTGTGGCGCGCAACGAACTTGGCAACTTGCACTGGCCTTAAAGCAAACACGTGCAGCCTTAAGAGTTGCCAGGCCAAGCTGTGCCCCGCGCCCTGCCGCAGCTGTGTTAATTACTGCGGCGAGCGCAGAGCTCGTCGTGAGTCATGAATCATGACTTCCGCTTGCCTCGGCCGCTTTCTAATTATGTTGCAACAAATGAAAAATTCAAATGAAAATAATATAAACAAAAAAAACAACGAAATGGCAACAAGCATGTTGGCAATGCTAGCCAATGTTTACTGTAAATAGTTTAAGGCAAAGGCAACAAAATGTGAACAGTGTGCGTTAACGTTATAAAGACCCCTTGCTCTTGCCGGTGTGGCAACTCTCTCGAGTTTCGGCATGTGGCAACTGCGGTTAACCGACAATTTGTGCACAGTTTCAGAATTGCCACGAATAAAGCTTATTTGCTTAGCACAAATTGCTGTTAATTCATTTGGATTAGAGCAAAAGTCGACTAAGTCGAAATCTCTCAAATATACCCTTTCGTAAATATGTGTTTGTCAGCTAAAAAAAGGGTATTAGACAGTCGCTGGCGAGGCGCTTAAATGAACAGACACACCTAGAACCGCATTTAAAATGTTTATTATAATAGTTGTATTTACCTTTTGGCATTTATTTGTTTCTATATATTTTAACTTTGGTTTCTCTGGTAATTCTTGTTCTGTTCGGTTTGTTGTTTTTGGTATTTAAATGCCGTGTGATAACAATATGTTTGCTTAATGTTTATAAATATACCAAGTGTCCGACGGTATGGACCGTGGCTAAATTAAATTAAAATACATATCAAAATCGTACAGTAACTACTTTTGGTAAGAGTTTAAAGTATTAGAAATCAAATTGGGGGGGACTTTTTTTTTCTTATATATATTTATGATACTCTAAGTCATACTATAGCTAGGTTTTGATTTATTTCATATTTTATTCGAGTTGCCGCTGGCCAAATTCAGTTTTGGCCGCATTTGATTTGCCTTTTGACGTGTTATTTATTTATTTCATTTTCTTTTTTCAACTAGTTGCTTTACCATATCTATATAATTATTTATCTTTGCACGTATATAGCATGTATTATTTATTTTTTTTTTTTTTTTGTATTTTCTTTTTAGTTGATTTATTTATTTATTTATTTGATTTTCAGTTTTGATTTGGGAGTATTTTAACTGACACACTGAACTGAACTTTAAATGCAATTTACCTGCAACTGGTTTTTCTTTCTTTTTTTTTTATTAGTTTTTGTTTTGGCTGAGAGATGTCCTTAAAAAATTGTATATTTAAGCTATATGTATATATGATGTATATTAAAATCAAATGAAACGTAGTTATAAAATAATTAACTAGCAACAGTTAATACGTAAATAGTTTACAAATAGTTAGTATATACTTTATAAGGTTTATCTCAGTACCATTCAAATGTCTTTTGATATGACTTAAGCAATTTTATGGTATTTTCATTGGCAACTATACGAATATATACATACGCTATAGACCTCCACATACGACAGTATGAACTATGAACTTTTTTTAAATTATAATTACTTAGTTTATACATTTAATTATGGCTATGTTAAGCTTGTCTATGCGGAAGTATGCAATTGTTGTTGTTTGATTTGCATCGAGTGTCAAATCACTTAAACTAGTTTCCCGGGCAGGTCAAAGTTCAAACGCCAACAAAACGAATAGCATACAATATTTATAAAACAAACGAACTACATATTTTCCAACAAATCAAAACGATTTCAATTAATATAGATTTAATTAAAATTTGCTGACCTGCCGCACATTTTTTTTTGTTTTCTTTTTCGTTTTGTTTTATTCTTTTCCGACTACAATTTAAATTATTTTCTTTGCGCTAATTAATTTATTACAATATTTTTATTAAGCCCCGCCTGCCCAAACCCGTTTTCTATTAGTTTTTTTTTTTTGCCATGCAGTTTTTGTAATTTAATTATAAACAAATATGCACCAAACAAATTCCATTATGGGGGCTCTATGAACACACGCACACACACTTTTGAGCTATGTTTCATTTATGGCTCATTGTTGAATAAATTTTTTGTTTACATTTTTGCTATTGAGCTCTTGACGTATTATTTATATTTCTTTTTGTTTGTTTATTACAAATATTAATCAGTCATTTCAATGCAATGAATTGCTGTGTATATATTGTATAATGTTTTGAGCACACACACACGCACACCCACACACACAGTAAATCGCATTTAAAGGTTTCCATTTCCCCGACAAAAACCCCTCTCCCCCAGTTGACTACTGTTAACAATAATGCAATAATTTATACCCATTCATTTGCAATGCGCGTGCTGACAGGCTAAATAAAACTTGCCCAACTGATTGCCACGCTGCAATTAATTCCGTTTAGAGATGGCCGCGTGTGCGATATTTTATGTGCGACTCACGACTTTATCAAATATACAACTTTTTTTTAAATAATTTAAACTTTTTTAAAATAAAACTTACAAACTTAATCTGTTTTGATAAAAATATAAAAATTATAACGATAAATTTGCGCTTAAAATTTTCTTTAAATAAAATAATATATAATAAAAATAAATATATAAAATAATAATACTTAATTATTGTTGTTTACGATAAAATGTTTCTTAAAATAAAATAAAAATAATTAAAATACCTAAATTAAGTAGATTGACTTTATTTCCTAATTGTTCTTAAAATAAAATACCTATTAATATTTATTTTATTGGTTCGAGGAATGGGTTTTAATTAATCAAAATCAAAAATGAAAATGAATGTTAAATATTGTTTTACAATTTTCTAATTAAATTTGTTTGAATAATAAATGTTTTATATTTTTGTGTGAGTGCATCGAACAAATATATTTTTAAATCAAATTTTTTTTTATTTTTGATATATTTTAAGCCAAATTGTTTTAAGTTTTTGATTTTAATGAATTGAACCCCGCACCTCGATTAATCACGACGCACGACGCGTCCATCTCTATTGCAATGTGCCAACATAAATAATGTTGCCTACTTTTGTGCGCCGCTGGCAACACGCTTTGAGTGAAATTTATTAAAAAATGCTTTTTGCACTTATTCAAAATGATAATAAAAGAAATAAAATAAAATAATATATGTAGCACTCTAATTGATATATTCAATTAAAGTAGTTTAATGCTCGACTAAAAACTTAAATTTAAACTATTTCGTATTGTTGCAATTAATTTGGTTAATTATCAAAACAAATATGGCAAGTTTTGTGAAATAATTTTCTAGTATTGCGTCAATTTAAATAAATTTGTTAATTATACGTCCATTGTTATTGAGTCAAGTTTTTGTTGTTCTTTCTTTTTTGTTATGAGTACGCTTAATGAGCTGCTTTTTAGCACTTATTAACTAGAGTTCTGCTTAATTTAAAATCTACTTCACTTACTTGTCAAAGGGGTGGGGGGCATGCGGATGCTTCTTTATGTCCGGCGAATGGCGCATTAGCGTTGCGTTCTGCCCGTTAACTGGCGAGAGGGTTAGGCTACCCTCATGACTGCCACCGACGCCGCTGGCGCCGCAGCCAGCCAACATTTTCTCTGTCTCCTGGCGGCTATTTGCCATTATTCGTCGTATGGTTGGCGCGCAGGGTGTACGTCAGAGACGCGACTCCTGCACGTGCTCGTGTCAAACCTGACCGTGTGCGTTCATGTGCAGCGCCTCTCCGGCATCCGAGGGCGCCCCGGATAGCTGGGCGGGTGGATAATACTGCAAGGAGGCGCAATTGAGATACTGTGCGTCGGTTAGACATTATTGCTGACCACATCATTAAACGTATAAAGCAACCCCAAAAACCAAGTCAAATGTGCTCTATTCGGCACTGATCGATTAGTAGATACCCTGTATAATTGCAAGTAATCGATTAGCGGATAGGGTTTATACAGAAAAGGACGCGAACTAAGAGCAGTTTTCTTTTGGATAAGCTCTTGATTTTCTCATCTCTCATTAGCATGGATTAAGGGAAACTCAATCGCAACCAATTTCCGTGTTTATTTTACAATTTTTATGAGATATTTAGGGCTCAGAGATGTGCATATCCTATTGATTCGAATATATCTCTGTTTTCGGATTGGGGACATTGGCCCTGTGGGAGCTACCCAATAGCTCCTTTTTCCTATATGCATAATATAAATGACATAATTCCAAAAAAAATACCATTAAAGAACCTTCAAACTCTATTTATTTGATCACTTAGAACTTTCATAATCGATATTTATTGATCTTATGACTATCGTTGATAAAGACGATCGGACTTCAATCTCTAGCTTCTGTAGTTTCCGGGATCAACGCGTGCACCCCTAAGGACCTAAGTCTAGTAATTCTACTTAGCTCGTCGTCCTGATCAAGATTCGATAAACCTTCCTTTTGTCTGTAGCATACATTTGCACAAAACATATCTTTTTTACCCATTAATGTCAAATATATAAAAAATACTATTCGCACTAAGTTTGGGTTATCTCAGAAAAGCAAGTCTCGATATTTATCGATATCATTTAAACGGGAGGAGTTATACGTTTAAAGTATAAGTACGTTCTGTGTTTGATATGCGAGCATAAATATTTCGAATTAAAAGTAATTGGCACTGTAGTTTCCTGGATAAACGCGTTGCCTCTAAGGTAAAAAGTATCTAAGGTAACGCCTCTACTTATCTCGCCATCCTGATTAAGCTTCGAAAAACATTTATTTCGTCCCTCCATCAGACCCCCTTTTCACCCGTTTTAAATAAATGCAGAGCATTCAAAAAAAAAAAAAAAAAAGGAAAAAACAACCCGCTTGTAATATGTACTCACCCCCACGCGTCCGTTGTCATAGTCGCGACTCGCTTGAATGGTCAATTTGGCCTTGGCATGCATTGTGTCTGTCAGTGTGTTCCTTTGATGTGTGGAGGGCACGCCCACGCCCGGCACAGAGCTGGCGGGGCGCAACAGCATGGATCCGTTGCTTTTGGCCGCACTGCCAACGCCTCCGAGATTGGCGCCCGAATTGTTTGCCTTGTTGCGAAAGCAAAACTCAATAATTGCAACGAATACGGCAACAAGCAGACCGCCAATAAGTATATAGAATATGCCGGCCACATTGCTCAGGGAGAGTTCATTGTGCGATGCCTCCTGATTGTCCTTGTTGGGATTGCATTCGGTCTTCTCGTACCACCATTTGTTTCGTAATTTAATCAGCTCGCCGTTCTCCTTCAGCGACAGCACAGCCAAATTGATGGGATCTCTGCAAATAGGTGATGGTTATTTAGCATTGCGTGCTGTCTCACTTCATATCGATTAAAATCTTACGACTTTATGCATTCTTCTCTATACGAATCGCAATTGTCCCCCTTAGCATTTATATACTTATTATACTCACTTGAGCGCGGAGCCAAGCGGCGTGGCAATACCAAATCCCTTTGTATCCAAGTTGGGGCCCACTTTCATTGTGTCGCACGGTTCTCTCGCATTTACATATTCATTTTTTGGTGATTCCACAAGCAGAGCATATTTGCCCTTGGATGTGCGCACACGTCTGATCCCCTCGTCGTACGTATTCACAAAGACGTGCTTTCTGGAGTTCATGTATTCCCACATTTTATTGTGCAAACCAATTGGGGAACGCTGTTCGAGTAAACAGAAAATATACATGAGTGTTAATTGCATAATTGTGTAATATTTATTACAAATAAAATGGTTGCTATTAAATTAAATTTCACTCATTGCCAAGCCCGCAAAGAATATGTTAAAATGCTTAATGGGGTCTTTCGCCTGGGAGTTGGAATTTATAGCGAGATTTGACAGATGCTGGGCCATAAGTAGTAATGGGAGAATACCTAGCGGTATAACGTAACGTAAGTAAATACATGTATCGATAAATGTATCGATAAATGCTTATTGATACTAATATCGAATATATAACACTTCATATTATCGATAACATTTGAATAAAATATTAAATCGAAAAGCGGGCTACCGGTTAGGAAACCAATTATGTTAGGCATCAAAAAGTCCAACCAAAACAATTTGAAGATCATAATTAGGAAAGCAACACAAGCTCGATAAAATAAATCGATAAGAACCTTAAAGGCGCTGCGTATGCAAGAACAAGCAAAAAATGGTTGACAGCCTTTTGTTCGAGCTGGACTATAACAAGTTCTCTGTTCACTTGGCACATTTAAGCTGAGTATTCGAAATTAACACATGTGAAAGTTCGGGTCCGGTGCACTTACCCTAAAGAAATCCCAGGTGGAGCCATGCAACAGTGTGCCGTACTGCACCTCCGTTTGCATGGCCAAATCCTCCGGCGAATTGATGGGCGTTACCATGCGCTCAACGGTAAGAAAGGCAGCCAAATTTGCCGTATACGAGGAGATGAGTATGAGCGTAAAGAAAAACCAGGATGCGGCCGCAATGCGACCCGATATCGAACGGGGCGACAGATCGCAGCCCTGCTGCATAAAGGCCGACAGCGAATACCAGAACGAGTTCAAAATGCTAAACTCATTGACGGCCGATGCGCTTCCTCCGCTACCAGATGCAAGGCTCCCGGCGGATAGTGATGCCTGCAGCGCCGCAGCGCAGGCAGTTGTCTGGACGCCCGGTGTCGGTGGGCCCGGCGGCGGGGGTACGGGTGCGCCACCAATGATGCCGGGTGGCTGCTGATTGGCAAGCTGTTCGTGATGTGCATGTGGATCTAAAAGAGAAATTAAGAGGGGGGAGCCGGGAACGAAACAGAGCGGGAGAGTTGGTGAGTAGGCCACAAAACGTAACCGCAGCAGAACTGTCAGTTTAGCTGTCTTTTTTAGCATTTTTTAGCTAGATGCATAACTAGTTGAAATACATAGTTGAAATACATACATTAGCTAGAAATATGACAAAAAAATTGTGATATTTCTGGCTTTTTTTTTAGCGTATATATACAAAGTTGTTCGAATTTGTGATCACGCCCACCAGATGTTGGGCTAATCCCTAGTTCCTTTAAATCACAAAATTTTAAAGGAAGTCTATTGATAACTGTTATAAAAGGATACTAACTATTACGGACACGCCCACTTTTGCCCCCATATATCAATAATTCTCGATATTTTAGGCTTACGCTCAAAAATCTTCCATAGAAGAATCCTTCTAACAGATTCAAGCGCTAATTACGACGCATTTCTTTGTTAGCCTTTTTTTGGCTTTCTTTTTTACTAGCGCTAGCTATTCTTGGCTTTCACTTTGGCTTTCACATTTTGGCAACACTAAACCGCAGGCAGCAAACTATGGACAAGTCAGCTGTCCTAGTCGACAGGCAGACGAAACATATCGTGCATACATATGTATGTCCACCTGTTCGTCCGTCTGCCCATATACATATATGTATGTACGCACACATATCTCCGCTTGGCTCATGTTGGCCTGTCCGACTGGCAACTGTCAATCATTTCGTTTGGCTTGACTTTTTGCGCCTGCTCTAATTGATATGCAATCAAGCGCATAGCCAAAAGCTGCTCCAGTTGCTGCTCCTCCTTCTGCTCCTGCTCGTCGTCCTCCTTCTTCGCCTGCTCCTGCATTGGCATTTGCTTCAATTGCTGCTCCTGACGGCTTCTGACTAGTGACTGCTTCAGGCATTCTGCTGTCATATTTGAACATTTTCATGCACTCGCATTTCAGTTTTTATTTTGCACTCGCTGCTCTTGCTCGTCACTTTTTTTTTTCTACTCCTATTCTTCGTGCTGTTTTTTTTTTTGCCAGAGTCTGGCAACACGCTGCCTGCATACAGAATGTTGTTTACATTCCGCTAAAATTACATTAAGGATGTTTTGCAGGATGCCAATAGATTGTTATGTGCGGCAATTGTCTGCCTGTTCATATGTGACCTACGCTTTTGGATTTTGATTGCCAACAAATGCGAACACCACACGAATCAAACCAACCACAAACCCACAGGCCCATCATTCAACACCAACAAATTGAATCACATAATTGAATTATACGGCAACGCATGCAAAACAAGTCCAAAGTTATGCAGAAGCCACAGTAACATTCACAGGGCCCACATTCCCCCCTCCGCCCACCCACCACCCACAACACACAACACGCACAACGCGTTTTCCCAGGCCCTCAGCTGCCATCATAAAATATCAATATAGGGCAATAAAAGCTACGCACTCTGTAAATTTCGCCTGCCTTGGCCTAAGTTATTTAAATATTCGAATATCTCCTGTTATTTTGGTGCAATTTCTTGCTCTCACATTTCTATTCAATAATATTCAAATTTTCTAGTAGAGCAGTGGGCTAAATGTATAGAACCCTCGTGCAAGAAGAATACATTAAAATTGTGGCACAATTTTTAACAAATATACATTTTCAAAAAGTTTAAAAGTTGTTCTTAAGAAAATGTGAAACGCATTAAAATGGGTTTATAGTTCAGATACTCTCTATACTATAAATATATATATCCTAAAGCTTGTATCAAATATCTGTTAGCTTTAATCAAAGTTTTTTAAGCCCAAAAAAGGTTTTGCTAACTCTAAACTGAAAGTTTAATACAAGCTGAGCTTTAAGATTTGAAAAGTATTTGCTAAAGCTTGAAAAATATTTTCATATTTCTCTCCTTTTCTCTCTTGGAAATATAATAGAGAGTGCCAAATATTAAAAGCTTCTTTTGCGTAATTTCTACTTAATCTTCATATATAAATATCAGAATCTGACCTTTTAATCTTAAAACAAGCCAAATGCGACACTGTTTAAAGCTACTTTCGGCTAATTTCCATTTATATCAGACAATATCTCAACTTTCAAAGCACTGTGGCTTTGACAGAGTAGGACGTAACGGGATGTAGGAACGTATACTTTACCTGGTAACTGCGATTGTTGTAGCGGCTGCTGCACAAGGCGCCATTCGTGTGGGGAGAAGCGCGAGACAAAGAAGAGCACGATGCTGACACCAATATAGCTGAAGATGACGCTCACCTGTTGGCGGGATAATAATAAAAACATGAAAAACCGTGTGAGATGCGACAGATACGATAGCTTTCACAGCCCCAGCTACTGTTACTGCCTCTGCTTCTGCTGCTTTCACAGCGCACGGGGCGGCGGCTACTGTATAATTTGGGCTAAACAAATTTTTCATTAAATTTTCTTTACTAATTGAAGCGGAAGCGGCAATGGCTTCCCTAGAAAATGGCGGAGCATTAGCCTAATGGGACGAGTCGCGCGGCATAAAAAAGCGCAGAGGCTGTCGTGAATGCTCGACCCGTAGATATCTCTTAAAATTAACTATATGTTAGATTAAAGAAGAAGAATATGCATGGAATAAGCCCATGATACAGGTCTGGAAATCGATATTTATTCTTATTGGAGAATCGATCAACTTTACGGAAAGAAAAACATTATCTCGTTATCGAGGCGTACAGACGTGACAGGGTCTAAGCATCGATATTTATCGATTTTAGAGAAATGAAGACAGTCATAAAACGAAAAAACATACGAGAATGAGGCGGACAATTATACGTATATGCAGAAGAAATGCCGGGTTGACAGAGTTTGCAAATCGATATTTATCGATTTTGGGAAAATGAAAACGAAAGGCATACAAGTACGAGGCATGCTATGGAACATACGAGATTGAGACGGACGGACATGTGTCAAATATGAAAAAAAAACAGGGTCTGCAAATCGATATTTATTGATTTTGTGTATGTTGAAGATGTAATAAAAAGGAGCACGTTTACCAGAAAAAGACTATTATATACACGAAATAGAGATCACAGAAGCCTTCTACTGCCTATTAAATACATTGACACATTGTTTAAAATACCCATTGTAATGGTTTGAAATGGTTTACAGGGTATAGAAACAATGCCAGGTGACGCTGCCTGTCGAGTACTTCGACAGGCTGCCAGCTTGGCTGCCGCTGCCACCTGCCTCTACCGCTTGTAGCGTGTTGCCTGTTGCCTGTCTGACAGCCAACTGTTGCCGTTGTGTTGTTGTTGTTGTTGCTGCTGTTCATATTGTTGTCGTTGTCGTTATCAATGCTTCAATGGCTGCCACGGGGCGCGCCTTTGTGCGCTGGCAAAAAGAAAAGGTGTCGTCGCCGGCGTCGTCATAGTTGCTTTAATGCACACACACTCGCACACACACACGACACACACTCGCACTGTAGGCCTGTTTGCGCCTGTCAGTGGCTGCTTTTATTGGGGGCGTTGCCGTTTGTTGTTGCGTTCTTTCACCCATGTGTGTGCGGGTGTGTACAGCATACAATGCGTCATTTAATTTATGATAAATTTTTTGTTCAAGTCTTTTATATTAGCTTGCCAACTTTTGCAGGCATCGCCGGGTTGTTGAGCCTTTTTTTTCTTTTTCTTTTTATTATTAGGCCACCTTTTGCTCTTTGCTCGGCGCAAGCAATTTGCATTCGTAATTCGTTGAGCTCATGTCAAAATAAGCATAAGATTTCACAGCGCTGTTCACTGACTTTTATAAGCGTTTAATTTTTAAGATTTGTCGCGCTGTCAACGGAACCGGAAACGGTTTCGTATAAGAAAGCTTCCATAAATACACGGAGACTAGATGAAGCTGGTCTTAGTCAATTTTTTAGGTGTTTGAGTGTTAGAGATTCTTTCAGTGTGAACCATAAATATAATTTAAATGTGCAAATATGCTGTTGGATTTGAACCAGCGACCTTACCGTTGACACGCAGACGTCTCACGTTATGTTCGGAAATCACAAACCGATGACAGCTTTGTTCTTTATGTTTACCCTCCAAACTATGATTCTGCCAGACTTGGGGGTTGAGTTTATCGAAAACCCGATTTGCTGCCTAATTCCGACCCGAAAGGAAGCTTAAGATGAAAAGTTTCGGCTTGTTAAATCTTATGTCTTAAGTAGTGCTTCGATCAGCAGTATAAGAACAAGTATCTACCTACTATTATCTATCATTGAACATTTAGGAACACCTCCGTTTATACCTTAGTTCAGTTTTAGAAACATTATCCATCTCTATTCAGATTCTATACAGCCCTAAAGATTGTATGCTAGGGTTCATCTATCTATTATTTTGTTTTTTATTTTCTATTTTTTATTTGTATTTTTCTTTGATGTTCTACACTTCTTCTTCCAACCACAAGTCCTTAAATCTAAATATTTTACTCCATTGACTTTTCGCTGTCATTTGATTAAAGAGCCACTTTAACAGGCTCAACTTGGCAGAGCGAGAGAGAGAGAGAGACAGTTGGGCCTTCAGCACGAATATCAACATCATCAACTAAATGCTCATATAATTCTGATGGCTGGCCATTATTTAAACAAGCGTCGAGAGTCGGCTAACTTTGGACTAGCGCCAAATTTAATACTTGACGGCAACGTAATTTTTGCTCGCAGCGCTTGTAGTTGTTGTTTATAATGTTTAAAAAACAAAATAAAAAAACAGAACAACAAAAAATGGCAAACAGTAGCGAAAAAAAGAAATAAAAAAGACAAACTTTGTCGTTTACTCTATTAAACTTTTGGGAGCTTACGAGGTAGCACGTTGAAGCCGAAACCAGAAGAAATAAATATACAAAAGTCCAAGTTTGCCGCAAAGTTTCGCACAGAAATAAAATAAGATGAACAAAAATAAGGGAAGTAGCGTAAAAATTACCAGGCAATGGGCGCCAACAAAATATAAATACAAAATGAAAGAAATGTTTAAAAAAAACTTTACTCATTTGTATGCAGCGCAAAATTTTGCATTATTTTGACTCGTTACCAAAAGTCTAAATAAACACAATGTGCCGCACACGTCTAGACGCGGGCAGAGATACGAGTTTTTAGCCTACGTTCCGGAATTAATCGCTCTTGATTATTCAGACTAAAGTCATTTTGAGTGCGCTCAATAGAAGCCCGATAACAAATCGATGAGCAATTTAAAGTTAACCTTCAAGTCAAAACATTCGGCTTTTGTCAATTGATGCTTGAGAAAAACTTGAGGGGGAAGCAGTCATAGCATCCAGCTTTTGTCAATTGATACATTATATAGAAAATTAGCTGTATTTTGATTGACACCAAAATGATAACTTAGAATGAAGGACCTTTGATTATTTAGCATTTGGTTAGATCAATCAGCTTTTGTCAATTAATGCTTGAGAAAAACTTGAGGAGGAAGAAGTCATAGCATCCAGCTTTTGTCAATTGATACATGATACAGAAAATTAGCTGTATTTTGATTGACACCAAAACGATAACTTAGCATGAACGACCTTTGCTTATTTAGCATTTGGTTAGATCAATCAGCTTTTGTCAATTGATGCTTGAGAAAAGAGTGCATTTTCGTCAACATGAGTCTTAGCGTTAACGTGAATCAGTCAGAGCAACCAGCTTTTGCCAATATCATGTTGAAAATGAGCTGAACTTTGATTTTAAAAAACCAATAACCCTTAACGTAAGCAGAGAGTAGTTGTAGCATCCAGCTTTTGTCAGTCAATGCTTTACATCAGATTGATAAGTTTTATAGACTTTACAATAATACTTTAAAGTGCGGTATTTCGATCGATAACAATTCGATAAATTAGCACAGATATCATCGAGTAGAGCAATCAGCTTTTGTCCATTGATACTCGAAAAGAGAAAGGCGCATTTCCATCGATAAGTTTATATAAGGGAGCATGGCGCTGAAAATGTCGTAGCAACAAGCTTTTGTCAATTAATACATAAAAGGGCTGCATTTCGATCGATAACAAATCGATAAGCTGCTAAATATCGATCGATAACAACGGACATCATGATAAGTCAACTTGAATTAGTTTTTGGAGTAATCAGTTTGTGTTAGAATAAGACTAAGGCTAAGGTTTAACCGATAACAACTATTCGATAAAACTAAGACAATGATTTTCGGAAACAATAAGCTTTCCCAATGAATCGATACCTAATCGATAAGTTAACAAGAGAATAATCTCAAAAGAAATACGTGTATAAGATAGCACCACTCTGAAGAGTAAGAAAAAGATAGACATGCTCTATCTTTTAATAAAGTGCCTTCAGAGCATACTGGTAGACAGAGTTGCGATATTTTCACATACTACAAGTCACGAATTTGTTAAGTAAAATTCCTCGAGCAAACATTTCAGTTACGAAACAAGGGTAAATACGCCTCCACCCCACACCTAGGCTGTAACTAGGACACAACTGCCAAAGGGGGCGGGCAATATGACAGCTTGCAGCAGGAATGCAACGCCAAGTCAAAGTTGCGCCCCAGCCAGCAGCTGGAACGTAAAGTTTCTAGTCGGGCAGGCAGGGAAGTACATACACACACACATATAGAAATATATATATATACAGAGTTACATATACGCACCCAAATTTCCTGTGATAAAGGATTCATGAAGCTGAACACGCCGGGCGTTTGCTTCACTGGTTTCTTAATCATGATGGAAATGCCCAGCGACATGAACGGCTTGCTAAAGTCAATGACACGTTCGCGTTCAGCGGTAATCGTCATGGCGGCAATGGCAATATCCGCTTCCTGCAGTTCCAATGCGAAAGAGACAAAGAGCGCGACAGAGACAGAGAGAGAGAATAGGAGTTATTGTAGGTAGTCAGTTGAGAACTATCTCACTAGAGTCAGCCCACCTTGCGCACCAGCTCGCCAACCATGCCATCCCAGCCGCCGTGCACGGCGGGATTCTCGGAACCGTAATTGCCATCCTTCACCAGACGCAGTTCATCTGCAAAAGCGTGAGGCAAACGTGTGATTAAACTGTTGCATACAGTTTGTCCAAACGACTTACACTCGAGTCCCAGCTTCTTGGACAGCAAATCGGCGAGATCCTTGCAATAGCCCTCGAAGCGTTCGTTGCCGTGCAGCTGCTCGCCAAATGCCGGCTGCTTTATCATTATATACGGCTCCTCCAGCACCGTGGTGACAATGTACGTGCGATTCTTTTCGAACTCCACATGCGGACGCAAACGCACATATTTCGCATTCAACGGCTGCAGTCCCCCATTGTCATTCCACTCGGCAACTTTTACCTGCAAAGACAAAAGAGTCCATTTTATTTAAGTGAAAGACAATCGATTCACAGTTCGAGTTCATATTGAACGAGAGGCTGGTTAGGATCCAGCAGAGGGCCTTCTGGTCACTAGTTTATAATAAACAGATATATTAAAAAACTGTCAAGGGATCGCTTGGTAGGGAGGGATCTATGGTAGTTATTAAAATCAGACAACTTCATCTACTTGTATAAAGGTCTTATAGGAACGAATAATACTCTAACTAATACTTTACACAGTTGAATAAACGACTAAGTTAGTTGAAGATTCTTCTTGATTATTTTTGGGAGCGTAACTGCAATATTTTTGGCTAGATCTCTAGATTACACTCTACATTGAAACTATTAAATTAGCCCGACCTCTAGTGGGCGTGACCAAAGAAACCTTTGGAAGCTCCAGCTTTAAAACTAGGCCAGAAGGCCTTTCCGATCTGTAGAGGTAATATGATATCGAGCTTTAAATGTTGGGACTCCAACTTTAAAACTGAACTGATATTGATTTGGCTTTGGCCAGAAAGCTTATGTTCAAACTGTACAGGGTATTAAGAATCGAGCTTTAAGTGCTAGGACTCTAGCTTTAAAACTAAGGCGATAATGGTTTTGCATATATGCCCGAACTCTTGTGAGGCTGACCAGGAAACTTTTGTTCGATCTCTAGCTATGAAATGTGCTCCTAACATAAATTTACGTCCCACATTAGGTGTCAAATTTGAAGACTTTAAACCGAATTCAATTTGTGAATCTCAATAATTAACGAACATTCTAGAAAACCAATATACCCACTATGTGAGTCGTAGGGTATTTCATCTGCGTTCTTTTATGTTTTCTTTTTGTTTTCAATTTCGCCAGCCTCATGAATTAAAGCTAGCAGCTCGTCTACCTGCTTCCAGGCAAGCCAATCTCTGCTATCTCTAACCAGTTTCGCTTTTACCGTTACATACGAGCACCGTTACATACCATGGCGCTGTTTACGGTCATCTCGACAACGTGCAGGGTGTAATTGACTCGTCTGCCATCATCGTTGAATTTGATATCTCCGGTAAGTCCCTCGATTTCCACCTGACATGGGGGGCGAAAGCAAAAATAACTGTGAATGAGCGTCACTTTTTAATTGCTTTGTCAGCCGGCTGCCCGTCATCATCATCATCATCATCATCATCATTATCAGCATCATTATGATCATGACATTGATGTCTAGCTCACCTTTCTCAAATAACGGGATATTTTATCGCCATGCTCCCATGCATTCACCCAGCCCTTGGCCGTATTACAATCCAACGCGCGCGGCGCGCCGCCAAAGCTGGCGCTGCCGTCGCTGTTGCTGCCGCCGCCGCCGCCTCCGCCGCTGCTGCTGCTGCTGCTGGTGTTGGAGCCATCGCCGGCCGTAGAGGCAGCTGCCTGGGCGGCCGACATCAGGGTCTGGCTGCGACGCTGCACATTGTTCCTGAATTGATCCGGCTTCTTGCGCAGAATTTTGTTGAACGCCTCCACAAGAACAAAGACCGCATCGTACATGAGCGCCGCCTGTGCCTGTGTGTGTGTGTGTGTGTGTGTGAGTATGGAGCATTTGCAGATTATATGGGCACTCATTTCATTTGCTGGCACTTAATGAGAGTATTACACGCTGTTATTCACAATTTTCAACGTCATTGGCACTGTCTTTCATTTTATTTATTCGCGTTGGGGTATTTGCAACGTTGGGATTGAGGAAATTTCGCGACGCTTAGTTAACAATTTTCTAGATTTTGGCGGACCCACAGCACAGGGTTGCTCAACGGAGCTTTAACAGGTTGCTGTTAAGTAGCAGCGGTTATCGTTAAAACGAAATTTATCGAAAAGTCTCGATCGATATGTGAATCGCAAGTCAGTTACATATATTGCAGCGGACAATAGTGAATATTCAAATGCCACAAAAAACAAATTAATTAACATTTTTATAAGTGTTTAGCCATGTGCAACTCTCAGGTTATATATCAATTACTGCAACCATTGCTTACAGCCATTTTTTACAGATGTAATTGAACATTCGCTGTAGTTGCCACTTGTTGGAATTAATTTGTACCCGCAACTATAAGAAAATGTGCCATAGACTAGTACCATCTAAATAATTAAACATACGCAGGCAATAAACGCATAGCATATAAGAATACATACTACGAGAGGCATGCTTGGAGAAAATGGTATTAAAAAAGGTAAAAGAATAGATCGTGTGTACCAATGTACCACAAACACCAGTTTAGGTACATTTTTAGTACACATATGGCAGCCGTGGTTAACAGCGCGGCGCTCTTCGTTAACATATTCTTCTGAGCTGAGCAAAGCGAAAAGAAAATGGCGCATAGAATGGCAAGCGGTAAAAACGGCGTGGTGTGTTTTTGTTTTAATAAGCATTTCACTCGTGTTTTCAATTAAATGTTTATCAAAAAGTGAAGCCAACATGTCGTAAAATATGTGACAATTCAAAGTTTGTATAGTGCTATGCTATATACTAAGTAAAAGTCGTGTGTAATTTCTTTACGTTTATGTATGCATGTGCATGCATGCACGTGTGTATTTGTGCAGCATCGTGTGAGAGTGAGCGAGAGAAAAACGGAGTTTGGCGCGAAAAATGTCTTATTTGGCGGCAATTTGCATGTTTTTTTTTCCGTGATGCGTTCAAAAGGCAATAATGTGTTGCAAATAAAAGTATTTAAGCAAGTGTGTTTAGTTTTTTTGTTGAATTTTTTTTACGTGATGCTTGTTAAAGGCGAAAATGTGTTTAATAATATGCAAAAAGTTCCAAGCAAGGCTTTAATTGTGCGTTTCTTCTTACGTAACAAAGTGTGTGTGTGTGTGTGTTGCTCGAAATTTTGCTTTGTTTTTTTTTTGTGATGCCTATTAAAGGCGAAAATGGCTTAAAATATGGGCAAAGTTTCCAAGTGTATTTTTTTTCTCCTTTTTTTTATTATTTATGCATATTAAAGGTGAAATGAAAATGAAAATGCATAAAAGGCGTAATTTTAATGAGTCTACTATTACGTATATATGTATGTATATGTATATATGTGTATGTGTCTATGTGCGTGCGAGCTAATGGAGAAAGAGTGAAAAATTTGTCTCGTGGGAATTTTTTTTTAGTACATTTTTTTTGAGTGAATTTTTTTGAGTGTTTTTTGTGTTGGTGAATTTATGAGTTAAAATTGCAAATTTGTGTTTATTTTTGTATATTTTTTTTTGCGTGATTATTATAGATAAAATATCATTATATTCTATATCATAATTATGTATATACATATGTTTATATGTGTGTGTGTGTGTGTCAGTGAAGTGAGTAAAAGAAAGAGTGAGTTTTTTTCGTGGCATTTTTTTGAGTCTTTTTTTTTGTGCTGTTTTTTTGTACGTGATTTTTATCAAAGCAGAATATGTGTTAAAAAGTAAGTAAACAATTTAAGTAGTGAAAATAGGGTTTTATACAAAATGCATATTTAACATATATATATGTATGTATGTGTGTGTGTGTGCGTATGGAAAAGAAGATGCGCACAAGTCAAATAAACAAATAAGCATTGTCAAAGAGAGCAACATTTGGGCTTGAGGAGTGTGTGGGTGGGTGGGGGGGGGGGGGGGGGGGGGGGGGGTGAGTGTTTGGCTTAAGCGTAACGTTGAAGTCCCGAAGCAGAACACAACTAAAATTTAAGTGCCACAAAGTGAAATCTTTGTCAACAAGGATAATGCCAAGGAAATACAAATATAAACAGCACGCAAACTAAACCAACTCGCCAACTGTCGAGTAGTGTGTGTGTGTGTGTGTGTGTGTGTGCCCGTGTGTCTCTGTGTACGTGTGTGTGCCTGCGTGCGCTTGTGTGCGCGCGCTAAGCATGACAAGGACAACAACAGCAAGGACACATACACATGCATATGCATGTTTGTGTATTTGTGTATGCCTTTGACTGAAACTTGCTGCTGAACTATGTGAAAAGTGAAATCTGTCGCCCGTTCTGCTGCTGTTTCTGTTGCTATTTGACTACACACAGGAAAAGATAGAGTGGCAACGAGAGTGGGTGAGAGAGAGAGAGAGAGAGGGAGGGGTGAATGGGGGAGAGGGGCCAGATAGCCAGCACAAAAATATGCTACAGTCTCAACTAGTGTTGATCTGTAACGGCGTAACTGTGACTGAGTAACTGTGATTGACCATTGCTTAACTTCGTTAAGAACAGCTTCAAAGTCACATGGACAGTCCGTCTAATTTACAGTTAGATTTACACAGTCAGTTCGATATTAGTAGTCACAGTCTGATACGAACAGTCAGTTCTATATTAATAGTCATAGGCTTATATATTAACAGTCAGGTCGACATCAATAGTCACAGTCTTATGCAAACAGTCAGTTCCATATTAGTAGACCCAGTCACATATGGACAGTCAGTTCCATATAATAGTGACTTGTGACCACACTAATAGTCCCACTTATATAAAAACAGTCAGTTTCATTTAAATTGTCACAGTCTGCTATTAACAGTCAGCTCCAAATTAATAGATACAGTCACCTAGACACTAATAGTCACACTTGGATAAGAGCAGTCAGTTTGATATTAATAGTCACAGTCAGCTCCACACTTATAGTCACAGTTGGATAAAAACAGTCAGTTCCATATTAATAGTCAGATATAAACGGACTATTCGAAATCAGTAGTCACAGTCAGCTCCACACTAATAGTCACAGTTGGATAAAAGTAGTCAGTTCCATATTAAAAGTCACAGTCTGCTATTAACAGTCAGTTCCTTATTAGCAGATACAGTGAGCGAGAAACTATTAGTCACAGTTAGCTTAAAACAGTCCAGTTCCATATTAATCTAATCTTCAATCAAAAGTAAAAGTCACAGTTAGACTTCTAACAAGTAGCGCCCATCTCTAATGCGAATGGTAAACATTAAATGCCAGCAAATATTTAACAGCCTAGCAGCAATGAGAATGCTGCTCTCCAACTGTTGGATGTTTAGAACTTTACCGAAATCGATTCCCGCCCGGCGCCCACGCTCGTCTGTGGGTCGAGTCGTTTCCAGTTGTCATAGAACTCGCGCACGAGACGCCGATTTGTGTCCACAATGCGAAATCCGGTAATGTTAATGGCACCAAATTCGATTATCTCGCTCTCCCAGCGATCGTCCATGACCTGCAACCCAAACAAAAATGCACGTGGAGACAATGTTGGGGCGTCAAGCCACACCCACAAAACACAAACACACACACACTTACCAGTCCACTCAACAGATAGTGATAGGTGCGACGTCCCAAACGCAAATCCCGGACATGCTGTATCAGTATTTGCTTGGCCATTTCTGTTGGACAATCGAGCACGATATGCTTGTTGGTAAAGCGTCCGATATGCTCTAGCGTGTGCAAAAACTCAATAGCCATGCTGACATTCGAGATGCGCTTCACCAGCTCCACTTGAAAGGACTCGTTGCCCGGCTTCAGGCCCTGGTAGATTTGTTGTAGTCGCAGCAAACCTGCAATGGCACACAGAACAAAGAGTTTCCGAGAATGAGAATGGGCGTAAATTCTGTGCGCGTTAATTAACTCTAATGCGTATGGTGGGGTGGGAGGGGGACTACACAAATTATGGCTATCATCAGTTGGAAAAGCTCTTCAACAATCGAACATTACGTTCTGCCGGGCTTGTTGCTAAGTCATTTGGATTTGGCGCTAAGTGAGTATTGAAATAGAACAGGGAGGATTTAGGATGTGTTCCTAAAAATATCAAGGTCCAAAAAGTCTACATTTTGTATATGGAATTTAGTCAAAGAAGTCTACAAAAGTTTAGACGCCAAATCAATCTCCTCTAGATACATAATAAAAGATGTATATATCTTAAGAAAAATGTTTGCACTTCCCATGTTATCATCAAAAATGTTAACGCTTAAATGTTAGACGTCTGTTAAGTAACAGAAGTGATGATAACATAATGAATACGATATGATAATAAGGAGCAGAGCTGGGTTCGAACTTTTCGGTTTTGACAAAATAAGAAGCCTCTGCTTTGAACCATGAAGCGAGAAATCGCCGGCGCAAATCCATTGGCCTCCTTTTGTGTTTGTATAGTGTTAATAGAATAGTGTGAAAATTTGAATCAGTAGATGAGGAGCCTAAGCATTGAGCTGAGCTGCGAGAAGTTGCCGGTTCAAACTCAAGAGCAAGTCTTTTATATGTACATATAATCTTCAACATAATTGAATTATGTACAAATAACAATGAAATGGAAAATGGAATAGATTTCAGAGCGTCAGGGCGTCGCCGGGTAATTTCGTCTATTTATCTATCAATTGTTGTTAACTTCACAGAGTCAGTGTCAGAGGTAGGCAGATGCACAACAAAGGCTGCGAAAGTCCGTCTACAAAGAAAAATATGATGCACATGTGTTGCGTATCTGAGGGATGCGGCAGCAGCTCACGGCCAACTCACAAATTGATGCCCGAGGCCATGCTAAGCGGCTCGTTGCGTTCCGTTTCAGATTTCCGACAACTGGTATTATCATTGGCCTCGTCGGCGTGTGTGTTATGCCGGCAGAGATTTCATTGCAAGCACAATTTGCATTTGGTGCTGATTGAGTTATCTCTTCCTCTCTTTCTCTCTCTCGGCAACAAACTGCAGTTGCATTCGCACTTAAACAGATACGCAGATGCCATACGGCCGGCGGCTTCAAAAAGTCCAGCCAAAGTCCGGAGTCGTTCGTGCAGCCCCGAGATGATTTGTATGACAGCTACGCAACGCACAAAAAGTACACGCTTCACCTCTCCCTCTCACTCTCCCTCTCTCTGTCTCCCCTGTCTCGGCTGCAGCTTGAATGCGCCTTCAATTTATGTTTGCGGCTAAAATGGGATTTGGCTTGGATTTGGCATTCGCCAGCTCCCTGACTACGGCTAACACGGCCATTGCTGCTGATGCTCACGGCTAAAGCAGCACTTCATACATATCCAATTTGTTGTTGTTTTGATTTACACTATATCCGCTGCCAATGCCAGGATGAAGCATTACGGAATACCCTGCATGCAACAATTGTTGCGAGGTGGCATCGACTTATAAGTACAGTTGTTGTTTCGTTTGTCTTGGAAGCTCGATCCCTAAACTTCGTGCTCAGCCCTACAGAGGGCTGCATTTGAGTACATTTGAGTACAAATAAAATATCTAACAGAGTTAAGGGAGTCTATATATAGGGTATCTGACAGTCGTGCATGGTTTATATAACGGTATTTCTTAAGAAATGTCAATATCTATATACAGATACACCCCATTAGACATGTGCTTTGGCGGTGTGAAATATTTGAAACCTGACCACAGGGTATCTGAAAGTCGAGAAACTGATTCGTCTGCTTAGTAAAATGAAAAGATATTCAAATATATGCACATGCATATTCATATACATACGCACATAAGTCAATCGAACGCATGCTTGCATAAAAATACAGTAGATTACAGGGTATCTGCCAGTCGTTGACATCCACCAATAAGGGTCCTACTTCAGCAGTAGAACCAATTTTTTACGCTGTACTAGTGCAATAAATTTTGTGCTTTGCCTTTTATACAATTTCATTTGCTGTTGCTCATCCACCCCCCCTCCCACCTCTGCCATCGGCCCCTCCGGAACTTCTATCTGTACCCACTCCAAACTCAATCATCCCTCTCCCCACCTGCCCCTTCCCGCTCCCGCTAAACCTCATTCCCCGGCGCCTGTTACAGTATTTCTATAGTCCTCACGCTTGGCTTGCGTTTGGATTTGAGTTTTGGGTTTTTGTGTTTTTCGATTTGAGATTTGTCGTTTGGATTTGGAGCATGTGCGTGTGTGTGAGCTGTGTGTTGTGTGTTGGGTGTGTGTGAGTGTGCGAATATTGAGAGTGTAATTGAGTAGCGTTCTGTGCTGCGACTTGGGCTTTTGTTTTATTTCATTTTTGATATGAAAACATTTGCGACTGCCCCTCCCCTGTCCCTGCCGCAGCCCCTTCCCGGCCACCGCACATTAAATGTGTGTGTGTGTGTGTGTGTCCCCAAATTGATGGCTCGAAATTGGCTTCTGTTTTGATTTCGTTTTTTTTTTATATTTTACTCTTCGCTCGCATTGTTTCACTTCCAGAGAGTATTCTAATTTTGTCACAAAGCGCAAAAAAAAAGATATCAAAGCATCAACAGCTAAGTCGAGTGAGAAATATTTAAAATTTCAAAGCAAAACTTAAACTAACTTAGCTGGGTTTTAAAAGCCAAATTCTTAATTGAATAGAATAATTGATCGAATAAAAAATAGAATGATAATGACCTAGAAAAAATCTTCTTCATTAAAACTTATGCCAAAATTTATAAATAACTGCAATTAGTCCGCGTTCACCAAAGATTAAATTCAATAGCACTGCGATTGAGAAACCTATTACAACGAGAAGACTTCTTCAAACATTCTGTTGGATTTGAACCAGTGACTTCTCTCTTGTAAAAACTTTGCAGTACATATTGGCTCAACTCGTGCACCTCTTATTTAAATTTTATAAAATCCTAGCTCACTTAAATGCTATTCTAATTATTGTTCTTAACATAAAGTTGCTGCTGGATTTGAACCAGCGACTTTACTCTTAAGGAAACTTAAGGGAAGGCATTGGTTCGACTACCTGAACATTTTTGGTAGTTTTGTAGAGTTCTTCAGACTCATTTAAATCCTATTTGGAGACAAACTTTCTGCTGGATTTGAACCAGTGACTTCACTCTTGAGAAACATTGGAGCAGGCATTGGTTCAAACCGTGCAGCTCTTATTTAAAGCTTATTAAATCTATCTCATTTAAGTGCAATTCTAACTATTGTTTTTAGCAGTTGCTGCTGGACTTGAACCAACGATTTCACTCTTGAGGAAATTCAGGATAAGGCATTGGTTCGACTCGTGTCCCTCTTGACAGACGCAAGGGTATTCAAACTTCGTTAGTCGAAGCTTCCTTCTTATATTTGTCAATTTTTTATTGTTGCGAATCGTTTTTCATGTCTTTTGTCTTTAAGCTCGTGCGTATGTGGCTTATTTCCGTTTTGTGTTTATTGTTTTACTTTGGGCCTGTCGCATTGTTCCTTTTTTTTCCCTCATTTTTTTTCAGTTTATGTTGCAAATTTAATTTACAATTATATTTATATTTTCTTTTTTGTGGCCATTCTGAGCCAAATTCAATTATTTTTCATGCACAATTTCGCCATAGCAAATTCATTGAAATTGAATTTTTAAAAGCCATTCAGATAGACTTATTTTTGCAGTATCTCAAGTCTATCTTTGAGTATCTTTGGGCTGTGGCTTGCCATGCAAATTGTGAACAGCTGCCATATCCTGATGCCTCCTTCCAACGACGACGCGCAGCTTGTTTATTTGCTGCTCGGGCTAAAACTTCTCTATTTTCACTCACATGCGAAAAGTAAACAAGACAATTTGTTATGTTAAACAAAAGTTAGTTTTGCGGAAATGAAGTTTTCCTTCCATCGGTAGTGACATTCACACACTCGCACACACACACACACACTCATACACACACACACTTAGGCATAAAACACACACACAAAAGCAGCCACAGACACAGTTTGGTTCCATGGCGCACATAAGACATCACACAGTAACAAGTAAAACATTTGCTTACATATTTTATGCCTTAACAAATGAGAAAGATAATGGAATTATTATAAGCAAGTTTTCCTACTAGCTGCCGTTGCCCGGCGTTGCCTGGGTCATGTGTTAAACTGTTGTTCGATTTATGAGAACATTTTTATTGACAAATAAAAAAATTCAAAAGATAAAATAAATAAATACAAAATTGTAAATAAAATTGATAAAAATTGAAAAATATTGGATTTAAACCAGCGACCTTACGCTTGTTAGTTCGACGTTAAGAATACATACGACAGCATTTTATTGACAGAAAACCCCAAATCAAAGGATACTAAATAAATTATGAAAATTGATACATTTTTCGAGTTTGAACCAGCGACTTCACGCTTATTGGTCTAACATGGAGAATCGATTTGACAGCATTTTTATTGAAAAAAAAACAATTCTAAAGACAACAATTTTTTATTATTTTTAAAATTTAAATAATCAAATATCAAAATTAAAGTTTTTGTTGAACCGGCAACTTTACTCTTGTTAGTTCAACGCTTTATTTTCAACGTTTTATTTTTATATTTATTTAAAATTATTTGATGTTCTATGACAGATTGGCTGGGGTTAATTTCCCAAACTTTGCTGGATTTGAACCGGCGACTTCACGCTAGTTAGTTCGACAATTAGTTTTAATTATTTATCTATCTTAAATAAAAAAAAAAAAATTGCCTGAAATATATCTAAGCTCAACTCTTACGAAACCTTCAACCTTTTCAACAATTTCGATTGATATAATTTAATATTTTTTATTTTTAGAATATAAATGTGAAAGTGAAATGTGTTTAACCCAAACCCCAGCTCATGTCAAAGGTAAGCTAAGATTTTTTTTAATAAACTCT